TTAATTATTCCTGGTATTATATAAATCCCTTTTTTGCTCAATATATTTTCATGTTACAAGTTTTATGTTTAATATAGCAGTGAATTGGAAATATTTCTAAAGAGAAAAAGATTATCATCAGCACAGCAAAGACGGCGACGACAAAGCCTATTTGAAGCAAGATGACAACTTAATAGAAAAAGGCCTCTGAGTGCCTCACGTGATAGGCTTTAATAGATAAGATTGCAATTAGAAAAAAATAAAAAAAACATAGTAGTAAAGGAACTGATAAATTAAACGGTTCATGATCTACAATCTGCTGTTCACTCAGGAAAGTAATTACTTTTTAATTTTAACGAAACCTCCCTCTACTGATCATCTGAGAAACATCTGTCTTGCTCCCATAATATGGTCGATGCTAACCTCTAGAAGAGTGACCCGTTGTGCTTTCTCGGGCTGACATTCTCGGTTGACATGAAGTGGAAAGATTATATTGAATCAATTGTTAGGTTAAGAAATTTGATTCATTGTGTTCTAGTAAACATTTTTTCTCTCCAGAATCTATCTTATATATTTATGTCTACCTTTCGTCTATGGTTTGAATAATTGCTGCCATATATGGTCCGGTACTCCTGCTATATATTTCGAGATTCGTGATAAAATCCGAAGAAAAATCGGTAATATTATTGGTACTGACCTGGCGACTCGGCTTCAGTCACTTTCCCACCGTCGTAATCTAGCTTCCCCTGTGGCTTTACTGTAAAAACTTTCATTATAATTGTTTGGATTATGTACGCGATGGTACTTAGATTTTATGAATTTAAGCGCAATACTAGATTGTCATCATTTTGTAGTTGAAATGTCGAGCTGTAACTCTAACTTTATATGTTAACAGTTTCTTATCATACTTGTGAAACTCTCCCACGGCCTCTTGCTTTCAACACAATGCAATGTCAATAGTTATTTACTGTCTTTCTGATTACTCGTCTAGTGGTCTTGTTCTTTCATATTCAGTAATCCCTACTGTTTCAGTGGATTTACTGTCTTTCTTGAGTGAATATATATATATATATATATATATATATATATATATATATATATATATATATATATATATATATATATATATGGTCGACGATGCAGAGAAGTCATTGAAAATAAGGAGATGTTTACCAAATATTAAATTTTATTGATATTTTGTTCACAATCAAGTATTAACAAGATCGTTCCTTAACTTTTGTCCAGTAGCTTATTTCCTTTGTTCCATTTAATTTTTATTTAAAATAAAAACTATTATGTAAATTTTTGTAACTGTGTATAATATTATGCATTACACCCTAATCTTTATTCGGTAATTGCTAATCATTCATTACTTTTTAAGTAATACACATATTTATGTCTTTGTTGTTTCCGTTCCTTATATTATGGCCGTAACTGTATATAGATATTAATCATATATGTATATTAATCATTTATATATTAAATATATATTATATGGCGTGGTTTTGACACATTAGAAGGTACGATGGTCTGTGCAAGACCATCATGCAAAGCACCGTTGAATAGGGACATAGGAGAGGACAGCAGCGCAAAACTGACTGGACAATGTCAAACAATGGACGAGTATGACTATACCAGAAATGCCAATGGCTGCCGTTGATAGACTGTTGTGGAGGAGATTCAATAGGGCTTCTGCATTCGGATCCCCCTATGATTACAAAAGTCATATATATATATATATATATATATATATATATATATATATATATATATATATATATATATATATATATATATATATATATATCTGTGTGTATGTGTGTTTTCCTGTCTGCCTATATATAGAATATCATTGCAATAGATGCATTTTTAATGCTAAAAACCGTATCTTTATAAAGACATTAACTACATAACATTTTGTTATTAAATTCAGTGTCCCATGCTTACAAAAGCTTAGGGACAAACACTCGTCAAAGCCCCTCGACAGTTTCCCTTTAAGTACGCCTCAGGCATAAGTCTAGCTTCCTCCTGCAGGAAAAGTATTGGTTTCATATTCACCTCGGTCTGAAACACATTATCAGGCAATTTAAAGTCGATGGTGATTTAGCTGTACAGAAATATTGTATTATCACGGTGGTCGAATAATTTCTTTTGTTGCCGAGAATTTTGAGGAGGTCCGAAATATAATTGCAATGTCTTTCAAAAGACACCTGGCAAGAGCCGTATTTGGTTTGATTTGGTTTGTTTTACGGCATATTAACCTCAATGTGTTATTTAATGCCGGCAAATTGTAATATTGATGGTAATATTTTTCTTTCAAAAATCTATCTCTGGTAATATTTTTTCTTGAAAAATGTATAGTTGGCAATATTTTTTTTTTCAAAAATATATTTCTGGCAATATTTTTTTCAAAAATATATAGTTGGTAATAATTTTTTTTTTTCAAAAATATATTGCCGGTAATATTTTTTTTCAGAAAATGTATTGCTGGTATTACTTTTTTTTTTTTTCAAAAATGTATTCCTGGTAATATTGTTGTTTTTCACAAATGCATTGCAGGTAATTTTTTTTTTCAAAAACGTATTGCTTGTAATTTTTTTTTACAAAGTATTTCTGCTACTAAAATCTATCTTTACACTTTCTTAGTATTTTGACTCAAGTTCTAACTATTCTAACTATGGGGCCTAACTATTTGTTCATAGCAGGGACCCTAACAGGTGCTACCACCCCGATCACGTGGGAACACTAGTAATTAAGAGGTGGTTCTTTGCTCCTCAAAACCTTCTGATCAGAATTCCTTGCTGTTGGACGTACTTTATCGTCTTACCCAGGACAGCGTAGTATTATTAAACGGCCGAAACAACAGCTGGGTGTGAATAACATGAATAATATGAAGAAGAGATTTGATTGGCGGAAAACTTTTCCTCTTATTTCTCTTTATAAATAACAGAAAATAAAATAAAAAAAGGAAAGAAATATAAAATAAAATAAAAAAAATAAAATAAAGTGTTAAATTTATTTATCTGTTTTTTTGCTGTATATATTCATAAGGTCGATATTTTGGGAGTAGGATTACAGTTTGGATGTCGACGATGACATGGCTACTATATTAGAGAGTTTGAAATTTATGCGTGCATCTAAATCATTAGCAGAATACTGAGTTCTGGATAAAGTATGAGACGGCGCCATTCCCACGGGCCAACGATGACATGAATCCTATTTTTAAAGAGGCTGAAATTTATGCGTGAATGCAAAATAACAGATCTTTAGTAGTTCAACATGTCGAAAAATATTATCCGATGCCGCTCTCGGGAGATGAGCTGACTTGCTGACGAGTTCACAGTTTCAGACTTCGATGCATGAATCAAATTTATCATTGCATTAGCAGAAACCGAACTGGTTGAAAATATTTATTTATGTAACTCTAATGAAGCCCACGCATTTTTTCTTATAAATTTTTACCCATCGCCCTCAATACACAAGCTTACTGAAATAAATCTATGAATCATATATCGCTGTAAGATAGTTTAAGATTCTTTACACAGCACTTATTTGAATTGAATTATAACGTATAGGTGTTCCTTATCCTTCAAGTCACAGACTTCAGTTACCTAAATATATATATACATATATATATATATATATATATGTGTGTGTGTGTGTGTGTGTGTGTGTGTGTGTGTCTGTGTGTACAAATATAGATAAATGGACAGATATATAGATAATATTAGTGGTCAATATATATATATATATATTATATATATATATGTGTGTGTGTGTGTGTATGTGTGTGTGTATGTATGTGTGTGTGTGTGTGACTGTGTGCCTGTGTGTTGTATATATATATATATATATATATATATATATAGAGAGAGAGAGAGAGAGAGAGAGATAAATATATATGCAAATATACAGAGAAATAGGAAAGAACACGTTAGGTAAATAATCCGCGGCTCGTTAGTTCTTTTGTTTTATTTAAAAAAAACAGTGCTCAATAAAAAAAGTACATCCTAAATTATCATTATATTTATTTTTATATTTTTTATGTTTACTTTTTTCATTTTATTTTTTATTTTTATATTTATTTTTATTTTATTTAATTTTTTTTAAAAATATGATTCCTTAATTATAATATATATATATATATATATATATATATATATATATATATATATATATATATAAGGTGTCCCAAAATGTATGACAATAAATGCAGTAAACAAGATTAATGGTTAAAATTAATATATATTAATCTTTATTAACTTACATACAGTTAACAGTTTATAAATATTCAAACTGGCGCAGTACTTCCCATATATATATATATATATATATATATATATATATATATATACATATATATATATTTGGTTGGATAGATGTGAGTTTGTGACCCTGGGTTTCACGCTTAATGTTAGCTCTATCTCTGATATTGAGCGCTTTCTAATAAGTACCGCGCATATAATATATAAATAATTATACATATATATATATTTATTTATATTTATATTCACTTTTCACACACACACACACATATATATATATATATATATATATATATATATATATAGTCAACGACGAAATTATTCGTACACCCATCAACTTTGAATGTTTTTATCCATTTTTCAGAATCTAATACTGGCCGGTTTTCTTTATATTAGTAAAGACAGAAGAAGGAATATAAAACAATTTTCGGAAATATAGGTTAAATACAACAAATTTGACAGGTGAATTATTCAAAACAGGCTAAGTCAAAATTATTCGTACAGTATGAACAATAGAATAAAAATTGAACAATTGTCACAATAGTAATAGCCAATAGCATGGCGTCTTATCTTTATCTCTTGCTGCAATCGTTTTCAAAAGTTGTTGATGAAATTTGATTTCTGGAATTTTTTTTCCATTCTTCAATTGTTAGACGTTTTATTTCCTCAAAATATTTGATGACCGAGAATTTATTCGAACTTTCAATTCTTGCCATAGATTTTCAATAGGATTCAAGTCAGGACTCCATACAGCGGATGCGCACCGACTACATCCACCAGAGATTGCGCACCGGCTCCATCCGCGAGCGATTTCGCACTAACTCCATTCACAGCGATTACGCATTGACTCCATCCACCGGAGATTGCGCACGGCGGCCTTCCACCAGCGGTTTCGCAAGGACTCCATCCACCAGCGATTGCGCGCCGACTCCATCCACCAGCGAATACGCACTGACTCCATCCATCAGCCATTGTGCACCAACTGCATCCACCAGCGATTTCGCACTGACTCAATCCACCAGCTCTTACTCATCGACTCCATCCAAACGCGATTGCGCACCGACTCCTTCCACCAATGATTGCGCACCGACTCCTATCACCAGCGATTTTGCACTGACTCCATCCACCAGCGATTGTGCACGGAGGCCTTCCACCAGGGGTTGTGTACCGGCTGCTTCCTCTACCCTTGAGTCTAAGTTTGGTGAATCCTACATTCCGATGCTGAGAGTTATATATAATATCTATCGTATCCCTTCGGTACTCCGAGTACGTGATCATGATGAACGCAATATTTCTTCAAGATCTTGGCTTTTTTTTCATAGCGTTACCCAACTCGCTTCAATTCAATATAACAAATCCGTTTAGATTTATAATCAATTTCATTTCTCTTTAGTTGCTTGATTATTACTAATATAACATAAATTCTCTTCGTGAAATTCTATAATACTTTCTATACATCATAACAACACTTGGATTAAGTACTTACAAAGATTCATCGTTTGACTTATCCAGCAACTAACCGGTCATTAACGCAACCGTGGCTATTATTTTCTTGCTGCTTCATCATGGTTTCCATCAACACCCGTACTGGACAGTACACCAATTTCAACTATCAGCTTCTGGCTTTTCCTATCAATCAAACTCACCTGGTTTAGGAAGTTGTTGCCTGCATATTGTCCAGGCTTTAATCAACCCATTGTGTATATTTGGCTTAAATACTATGGAAAGTTCATTGTTGGACTTAATCAGTAACTGCTCAACGTTTTCACCGGACTTTGAAATTGAATTTTCGAACCGTGGTTTATCTTGCGAACTTACCTGGATTCTACTTTTAACTTAGTCACAGGTATGTTATCCATTTTATTCTATCCGGACTGTATCCCTCCATTTACATAATTATTCCTCCATTTACATAATTCTTCCTCCATTTACTTGATTTCTTGTTTGTTCATGTTTCATTTTGGTACACTTAACACTACTTTTGTATATTAGATAAATAAATTTTGTATTAATTTAAGTTTGTCGTTTTATTGTCCTGTTCTTGACCTGCCATTTTTTATATCTTTTTTTTTTTTAAATGTTACCGGGCCTCCTGTGACTATACTTATTTGGATACACAGAGCATTTTGTATCACACCTCCTCCATAGCGTCCAATACACATCTCTTGGGGATAACATCCAACTAAATATCAGCTCTATGGACCCATCGGTGATATTTCTACAATCTTACGGGAACGCAGAATTCGCTTTACAGGACACTGCCGGCGAGCAAAAGGCGAACTTGCGAATGATCTGCTTCTCTGGACATTTAGCCATGGCTCAAGGTGTGATGGTTGACAGGATAGAGTCATGAATGTCTGATCTAGCTGCCTCCATTCTTTTACGCATTTAAGAAAAACTACTTATTAACGCTCTAACTTGAGTAGTGCTCGGGTGTTGTATTGGGTAAAAAATAGAATATATTGGATCAGGAAGTCACAACTTAGAGCTAAAAAGAACAATTAGAAAAGATCCAACTCAATACAAGAGACGTTTGGCAAGTGCAAACGAGTTTCAGCTATGAGACTCCAAAGAGCAGTGTAAAAAGTCTTTAAAATATAATCGTACGTGAAATCTGTGACGCACCAAGACAGAAAGTAAGAGGTTTAGAGAGGGCGAAGATCATGATTCAAAGAAAATGAATCATGTTGGAAGAAAATGATTCAGGAAATATATATATATATATATATATATATATATATATATATATATATATATATTTTATTTCAATCCTTCATGAGCTTCAGATCTTTAGATATGATTAATTAACGATGAACGTGTCATTTTCGTTTATGATCGATTTCATCAGCATGTTAAGTTTAGAGAATAATTATACATTCTTATTGCTCTAAGAAGAGACCAATGCAGTTATAAATATAATTCCAGTAAGATATATTAAATCATTTTTAAGATACATCGGTTCAAAGCATAATCTGACAATTGCTGTTTCACGATTTTGACAATTATGTTGTTACACTCGGTATATATATATATATATATATATATATATATATATATGTGTGTGTGTGTGTGTGTGTGTGTGTGTGTGTGTGTAGGTGTGTATGGGTGGGTGCGTGCGTGCGTATTTGCCTGATTTGTAACTTTTTTTTGTTTCATATTTCTCATTATATGGTTTTCGCTGCCAATTGGAAAAGAGTCAACGATTCTAAATTCTAACATTCCTCCCGGGTTCTACAATCCTGAATGGTTTCCTCATCCTCATATTTAACGAATGATGCTGAATAATTCTTAGCTCCACCAAGAAGTCTGTTCAAAAGAAAAGCTAATGTTTATTCATTTCGTCAAAATTTGGAGAATTGGTGGGGTCGAATTTTTTCAACATCTCATCGTATAAATCCCACGAGCGAGAAAATATTTATCAATTTCATCATCAATAATGTACTTTTTTCTCTTTAGAATATTTTAAAAAAACTATTGTTCACTCAATAAAAAAATATCCTCTCAAGTTAGAGAGCTACAAAATGGGTACTTTTTGTAAGGACGTTCATAGAGGAAGCAAGCATATTAGGACACTATGTCGGAAAGATAACTATTGACCCAGGACTTGAGGAGGTGAAGATTGTAGTCATCATGGAAGCGTCATATCTGGGGTCAATTTGAAATTGCAACAATTCTGGGTAGAATTCAATCTACAGAAATTCGACGTGTAGATTCAGCTATTGATTAAATGGAGTCGCTCTACGTCTAATTGAGGCCAAGTAATCTACGAGTTATGATGGGTCTTAGCTATGAAGGTCTGAAGGAACCAACCCAGATAAATCGCCGGAACATCTACGATGAAAAAATAGCAATAGAGTAGCGATTCGTCTGTGGGAAAGAGATTGTAAGGTGGAAAACAATTCAACATGTGCAACGCATTGTAAACCCTTCTGAAGTTCTTGTTCTTGTAACAGCATTCACCTGAGGTGGGTTGAGCCGGCTCCAATATTGGAGTTTCATAGGAATTTGGAATTCACAAGCGGTCCCTAACCCGCATGTATAGCACATGAGATTTGATTATAGTGGTGAAGGTTTCGTGCAGGACCATCCACACTTTTTGAAGGGCTGATTACAGCGACCTGGTGCACGACGTGCCACAAGGTCCCGAAACGACCTTCCGCAGGTTTTGAATTCAGAGTTTTTTTTTTTTTAGACCGGTTGCCATCCAGGGCTATAGAACCCAGTCTGTCCTGATATTTACCCATAGCTTTCCCAAGGGTATTAGCACGTAAGTGAATGTCCGATTCCTCAATCCAAGTCGCTATCCATTACTCCACCGTGCCCCTTCTGAAATCAGTCGAGGCAGGAAATTAGGAAGTTCCAGCAAATTTTTGTGTCTGGGCGATCAAGGGGTCGGCACAACTTCCTGTTCCTTGTTGCTCGGAGCAACGTTTTACTTTTTACCATCGCTACTTGTTCCAGCTATGCTCTTCATTTACAAAAGATCACCTGTAAGTTTTTTACTGTTTGCCTCTCTCATCCATTCGTCCATTATATCCCTTAATGCTTTTAATGTTTCCGTGACGTCATTTCTCATAATGTGCCGCAGGGTTGTTACACGTTTCTTTCTGATTTTAAGTACGAGTATCTTCTCCGTTTAGATTTCTTGAAAACTTCCGCGTTGCTCACATGTTCAGTGCATGATATTCTCAACATTTTTCAGTAGAACCACATCTCCATCGCTTCGAATGTCTTCATTCGTAAAAAATAACGTTCGCGTCCAATAGAGGAAGGCAAACATGACACATCGCATCACCAATCTTCTTTCCTAACAAAATGGCCGTAAACAGAGAAATATTTAAATAACCGGTCTAACATTAAACTTAATTTCAAATGGATAAATAACAAACGAACTTGTTCTTAGCAACTTATTATTGTGCTCAACTCATCACTTTGTGACCCTCCCCACATCTGGCCTAGTGCAAGGCAAAACTAAGCTTAGTAAATGTTTCTCTCGAGTGTCATATGTAGAATAATGTTTAACAAGCTTGGTTTGATTAACTGGATGTCCCAAAATTGTGACTTAACCCAGACTAAGATAACCTTTAGAGATATTTATATAAAGGCACTTACTATGGAGTGCTTGAATGTGAGAATAGTGTAACCGGTCAGCGAGCCGAGTTCGAATTTCTCCGAATTCTTCGCACGAATACTCTCGGGAAATATATGAATCCATATCTTCTACCCCCACTTATGGATTAAATAGGCTGAAGTTACCAAGCAGTTTAGAAGAAAGAAAATCTGAACTCAAAACCACCTTAAACAAAGTTAGGCTCCGTCAAGTTGGCTTGCCGTATACATAGCATTGCTTCTGCTGCTGCCCTACCTATGATATCCCTATGACACTTAATGGGTTGCAGGACTCATTTGAATTTTGGATGAATGAATAGCAAGCTACACTTCGGAATAGAGAATATCATTATGCAGTTTCAATAGAAAAACTTGTATAAAATCTATGCCAAGCACTGCTTTCATGTACAATGGTCGTCAAGGTTAAATCACTTTCTGCAATTTCCATTGCTTCAACATAAGGTGTATTTGGTAAGGCATGATTATTTTTTAAAGTCTCTTCTCTCCTGCACAATTATTTTGCTCTAAGTTTATTAAGCATATATATATATATATATATATATATTTTAAGACATTTTTATGTTTATACATTTTTAATAGAATATGCTTTACATTGATTACATTTGAATACGCTTTGAGCAGATATGAATGTACGTGAGAGATTCATGGAAGATTGAAGTTTAAAAGCAGTAAAATCGACCCTGCCAATCGAACGATTTTCCGTGGCTCGATCGGTTAAGGCACGCCAGGCTAAATGACGGTCCCGTATAGGATACAGGTTCGATTTCTCTCGGAGAACGAATATTTTCTATGAAAATTTCTCGGACATTCACGCCGGTAAATGTTATTAATACTGTTTATTATAAAAGAGAGCATTTACTTAAATATTTGTATCTACAAAAAGAATGTATAAATATAAATATGTCTTAAAATAATTGTCGGACTTTGTCCATTTCATAATATATATATATATATATATATATATACATGTGTGTGTGAAAAAAAAATCCACGCGGAACGAGTATATGAAGAATCACGCTTATTTTATAAACTAAAAAATCACCCCACCCCCCGGTGTGACTATTATAGACGGCACTCGAACTTAGTCTAAAAGAGTAATCGACCATGTCATGAGCAGTATTCTCACTTGGAGATCAAATTACAAGTGATGCTAACAGTTTCTTTCTCGTATTTCTCGCCTGTGGAACTCTCTTCCGTCTCCATGCTTTCTAGCCAACTTTAATTTTCAAAAAGTT